GCGAGTCTTGCTGATGTCAATACGTGGTCTTCCTTCCTTTTTCATTTGATACAATCTCTTTGTTCACAGTTTTACTCTACTACACACCAGGGAGTGATCAGTATCGCAATCAGCACTCTGGTAACTGTGTGTGATCATAATACTAGGAAGGCTAGAATGTCTAGTGAGGATCAAATCAAGCTGATGCCAATGCTTGGATCTTGGATGTCTCCAGGAAACTCTGTGTTGAAGCTTCATATTAAAGATTGTGTTGCTGACTCAAAGACCATAATAACAGCAAAACTCCAGCAAGCGTTGGCCATTTTCGTTCATCTTTCCAATACCACAATGGCCTAGACAAGTGGGCCAAGAATTGTGATCAGCACCAACTCTAGCGTTAAAGTCTCTGAGAATGAACAGTGGCTCTCTCTCAGGGACTTTTTTAATAGTAGCTACCAGATTGTCATAGAATTTGTCTTTCACTTCTGTTGTGGATGACAGTGTTGGTGCATATGGATCTCAGCAGACTATTTCTGACCGCAAAGCCAACACCATGTTCCCTGGTCTCATTCAATGGTTTTCCCTGCAAGAAGAATGAGAAGTTTTTTTTCTTTGACAGATCCCGAGTCTGGCAATCTCATCTCTTGCAGCGCAACAATGTCCATCTGCAGTTTACTCAGTTCCATGTCAATGACTGCTGTCTTGTGCACGTCATCTATTTCCTGCAGGTCGTCAGAAAAGCCGTTGTCAGGAAAGCCGGGGGTCATTGTCCGAACATTCCAGGTGCCCAACTTTAGGGCAGAAGTTTTCTTACAATTGTTGCATGGTGCAGAGTTATTGATCTGCTTGTCATCTTTCACCCTAAACCCCATGCACCCCATGAGGTTAACAGATTGTGGCAAGGTAGCACCTTACTGGTTGGGGACTGCCCAGTTTAAGGTGCGCTCTAGAGCATGAAGCCTGGATAAAATAATATGGAGGATAGGCTGTTACCCAAGCAGCAAATCCCCCTTCTCCACATCGCTGAAATAATCCAATGGAAAGGCAAGAGCCAATACAACTGGTTCCAGCGACGTCGCAGGAGTTGACAGAACGACATGAACTGCCTCCGGAACTCCAGCTCCGGATTTTGCCTCGAGGTTAACTCCTGAAGCCTTTTCCATCAGTGGATATAGCCACAAGGCAGTGGAGGTTTGAAATAGGAGGTTTCCTTCTACTTGATGGGCTGCCTTCCAAGGCTGACAAGCCCCGCCTACCTGGCTTGCTCTCAAATAGTGTGGAAGTATGATCCAACCCTTAAAACTTTCCTGCACTCCAGGTGTATGCATTGTTAATTGGTTTTCCTATTTACCAGATTAGGGTCAAAAGTAGAATCAGAGAAACCCCACCCCCTTAGACCATGCAGCGAGAGAGAACAATGGACAGCCTACAAAAAAAAATCCCACTAAAATGTCCACCCAAACATACCTAACCCTCTGCCCCAGCCTCCTCCCTAGGGAAAAAAAGGGGTGCAACAATATTTCATATCAACTATTGTAGGCAAAGTTCAAAAAAACAAGTGGTCCCAGGTAAAAGTCTTACTGTGCAATTGGCCTGGCTTGTTTATAGAATTTCACTGAGATCCAGATGTGATCACTTATCTAATGCTTCTATGCTTTCTCATCATTTGTCTTCTACCAGAAAAACTTGTTAAGGGTGTGGAGGAGCGAGAAAAGCTGCATCAAGCCCACAAGCCCTCTGCCTGGAAGTGAAGCACTCCAAAATATCACCTCTAAACTAACGTCAGTCACTCTAAACTGCCCCAAATTGCTTTGAATCACTTCGTTTTAATCTAGTCGTTCTGAACTATCCCTTTTTTCCCCAAATCGCTTCACTGTTACTCTCAAGCTGAGAACTTTTCATACAGGAAAAGGGTAGACATACTGAGATATTTTTCAGAAAAAGATGAAGAAATCAAGTTTTGGCAAGTAATTAACGGAAGAAAAATTAAAAGAAGAAAGATTCAGTTTGGGGAGTTCCACCAGGAAAAAAAAAACAACCTTGGTAAAGAGTAAGTACACATAAACGTGTAGAGATAAAGTGCATAAACCAAGACCCGCAAACTTCCGTCAAATAGCCTGCCTCGGAACCCCACCCGCAACGCACTCCTCCTCAGTTCCCTCTCAGGAATTTTGCTATTTTTGCCTCGGCAGAGAAGAGGCGTCCCCTTCCCTTCCCTTCCCTTCCCTTCCCCTCCATCCATCCCGCCCGGGGCCGAGGCCGCCTGAGAAGGGACGCCGCCTCCGCTGACGCGCCTTCTTCCCGGCCTCCCGTCACGTGGGCGCTCCCGGCAGGTCCTCCTCAGGGAGGAGGCGTCCCTCTCTCGCCTTCAGACGCGCGTCGGGCGGTAGGTAGAGAGTTTGCTTCGCTCGCTCGCTCGCCCGTCGGAGAAAGAGAAAGCGAGAGGGGTTGGGGAGGGGTGGCTGGTAGTGGGGAGGAGACACTTCCCGGTTGCTCCCCTCGGCGCCGGGGGGCTGGCCTGCTCGCTTGCCGGGGGTGGCGGGTGGGGTGGGGAGAGAAGCGTCTCATGCGGCGCCGCCACAGAAGACACACACACACACACACTCTCCTTCTCTCTCTCCAGCCTTAAGAGAGTCCCAGCCGGCAACACTTGCAGGAAGTGGCCGGACTTCCTGCAAGCAGGGCCGCCAAAGTTGGACGGGGAGAGAGAGAGAGGGAGGAGGAAAAAAAAACCGGAGTGAGCCTGGTCGGGGGAGTTTGTTTTGCTTCCGGCCAGCAACCAGCCCTTCGTCACCTCGTGAGTAAGGAAGGGAGCGGCTCCCTTCGCACCCCGCAAAAAGGATTCCTGCTTTGAGGCGAGACACGACTCTTCTCTAACCCCCCCCCCGCCCCCGCCACCACCGC